GAGGAGAGGTAATGAACCAAGATGTTTTTACTACTTGGCTTTCGGTACCACTTTGTAATGTAGCCATTTTCTGATAGGTGAATTTGTACGTTCAAAAATGGAAGCCATTTTTCTTTCGGCTTTTCTCGGGTGAACTTGATATTTTTCTCTGAGGAAGACGAAGACGTCGAAACGTTAGCCGAAAATAAATATATTTATCAACCTCGTGCAAGCTTATCAAAAAAGAATGCATATTGATTTGTCACACCGAGGTTTAGGGAAGGTCGGTTTCGAAATATTACTACGCTTTGTGCTAGCTGATAACACACCGACCTCTGCACGATGTGCGCAATGATGTATGTCCGGAAGAAATACAAGTTATTACCACCGGACATTGTCATTATATATCTACCATCAGCATCGTGTATAAAAGGGCATCACTGAGTGAGGATGCCTCATTCGAGAAGATGGCTCGCTCAGGAAGACGCAACGTCGAGGCGAACAACAAGCATGGACCATCGACTCGGATCACCGGCTCTGAGGAAGACGAAGACGTCGAAACGTTAGCCGAAAATAAATATATTTATCAACCTCGTGCAAGCTTATCAAAAAAGAATGCATATTGATTTGTCACACCGAGGTTTAGGGAAGGTCGGTTTCGAAATATTACTACGCTTTGTGCTAGCTGATAACACACCGACCTCTGCACGATGTGCGCAATGATGTATGTCCGGAAGAAATACAAGTTATTACCACCGGACATTGTCATTATATATCTACCATCAGCATCGTGTATAAAAGGGCATCACTGAGTGAGGATGCCTCATTCGAGAAGATGGCTCGCTGAGAAGATCTGGCTCGACAGGAAGGCGAAGACGCAACGTCGAGGCGAACAACAAGCATGGACCATCGACTCGGATCACCGGCTCTGAGGAAGACGAAGACGTCGAAACGTTAGCCGAAAATAAATATATTTATCAACCTCGTGCAAGCTTATCAAAAAAGAATGCATATTGATTTGTCACACCGAGGTTTAGGGAAGGTCGGTTTCGAAATATGAACTTGATATTCTCTGACTGTGTGTTTAACAATTCGAAGCATTTGTCCATTTCCTCTTGTGTTGAGCAAAGGACAAAGCAGTCGTCTACATACCTACAGTAGAGTAGCGGCCCGAGATCAATCACCGGTGCTTCCACCTTAGACATAAATGCAATGGCAAGGCTTGGAGCCAGTCGTTGTCCCATTGCCAACCCTCTTATTTGAGCGTAGTACTTTCCAGACCATCTGAAGATTGAGCAGCTCAAGCATTCTTAATTCAGCTTAATCGTGAACAAAGAATAGTAACACCTCGCGTTTGCTCAACAAAAATACGAAGAAAATCACTTGATCAATGCCGAGGTTAATAGAAAGTCGGTCGTGACAATCTACTAGGCCAAACGCCTCAATAACACTTACAAAAAGACGAAAAAACTCTATGGTGATTACATGATCAACACCTTCTCAAAAAACTCACCGCTTTCTATGTGACTTCCAATGAGGAAGTTTAGAACAGCTGATTATAGTGGCATGTGGTTGACGACTGCATCATCCCATATCAGAAATTGATGCGAACATACGGGGTCAGGTCGCGTATAACCTCTGGGCATTCCTCCCTACTATTCATTGTAGGGCTTTTGGCATTTATCCAAAAAGCCCCAAGGAGTTCTCGCGCTAGTGTTTCCAGGATCGACCTGAAGAAGGCGATACTGCCGAAACGTCAACTAGTGTTGTATTGTGTTGTGTTTCTCTATGGAAGTAAATGTATGTTGTTTAAAAACCTCGCCATTGCTGAACAAGAAAACGCCGCATTCATAATGAGCACAGTGTTTGTAAGCGATCCCTTATTTCCTTTCGTTTTCTTTTCAGTTTAGTCATGGGCTTCATCGATTAGTTTCAGTTTCTTCTTGGGCTTTGTCTTAACGGTGAAGAAAACATCGCTGCCACAGAAATGTTCATCTCAACTGGTTACTCATTAATAGAGGAGATGTTTTTCCCAAGAGAAAATCCGCAGTGACCGATTCTCAGCTCCTCCGCTGCGTCGTCGTTGATACGTATTTTCTATACGACCTATTTTCCAGTAAAAAAGTTTATGATAAATTGAAATCCTCAATTTAATTTGACGCAAATACATGGCACATGTGCAGTTCGCCCGAAAATCATGTCCTAATCGCACATTCACGCCCACTAGCAACATTCACCTTCGCCATTCCCCTATCACGTTCATATGCTTCCTTATCCGAAACCACACTTATTTGATACTTGAGTGACCCGTCCTCACTGGTTGTGCCGCCCCCAACACAATCTCCATTTTTCGGAGATTTGCTGGCTAAGCCATTGTGGTTCCCTGGAATCTCGAGGTCACCCAGGCTAAAGTCTGCCCCAGGTCTTCACCACCACAAGCAGTCGCAGCCCTTATGGATCAGAGGAAGAATTGCCACCATGCGACTTTAATGCCAGGACGGTGGTAGATCCTGGTACTGGTTTACTCTTCGCTAGGCTTCCTGATGGAAACGCCGATGGATCCGAAACCTACTACAGTGAAATTCTTGGAAGACAGACTGTTTTGCTATTAGGGCCAAACCGTACCGTCATAAAGTCCTTCCGCATCCTCTTTATAAAAAAGGAGAATTGTTTCAAGATTTTAACTTGTTATTTACTGCCCATTCTTTTTAATGGCAGGATATATTGCGAAATATAACTTCAACGATGATGAGGTATTTGCAAAACTCAGGACCGCAGGTGTCTGCAGTGGGGAACGAACGCGTTATTGTCCTTCCCGGGGAGTAACGAGTACACCATCACACCATGCGGTTCCTTCCTCTCGCCTGTCTCTCAGCTAGTTCTACCGATCTTTTGCCATCAGCACTATAACCTCAGCATAACATGGTTCAATGCCGATTTGGGCTCCCCAAATCAATCCCGTTGACGGGTGATTGCTCATCAATATCGGTATCGAAAGGATCGATATAACTACCTGAGAGACAGGCGAAACGAAGGACCCACATGGCGTGTTGGTGAACGCGTTGCTCCCCGGAAAGGACAATAGCGCGTTCGTTCCCCACCGCATACACCTGCAGTCCAGAGTTTTGCATATATCTCAGCACTATAGTAGTTATACTTCGCAAAAATACCCTGCCGTTAAAAAGAATAGGCAGTAAATAAAAAGGTTAAGATTATGAGGATAGAGCCACAACGTTGCTGAGATATTTGCAAAACTCTGGACCGCAGGTGTCTATGGTGGGGAACGAACGCGCTATTGTCCTTTCCGGGGAGTAACGCGTTCACCACCACACCATGCGGGTCCTTTGTTTCGCACGTCTCTCAGCTATTTCTATCGATCTTTTTGCCACAGCAATCACCCGTCAGCGGGGTTGATCTGGGGAGCGCAAATCGGCATAGAACCCAGTTAAGCTATGGCTGTAGTTGAAATCACAATGTTTAACGTTTTGTTTTCTGCCTTCTTCTATAATTGTGATTTCAACTACAGCCATAGCTTAACTGGGTTCTATGCCGATTTGCGCTCCCCAGNGTTGGTGAACGCGCTATTGTCCTTTCCGGGGAGTAACGCGTTCACCACCACACCATGCGGGTCCTTTGTTTCGCACGTCTCTCAGCTATTTCTATCGATCTTTTTGCCACAGCAATCACCCGTCAGCGGGGTTGATCTGGGGAGCGCAAATCGGCATAGAACCCAGTTAAGCTATGGCTGTAGTTGAAATCACAATGTTTAACGTTTTGTTTTCTGCCTTCTTCTATAATTGTGATTTCAACTACAGCCATAGCTTAACTGGGTTCTATGCCGATTTGCGCTCCCCAGATCAACCCCGCTGACGGGTGATTGCTGTGGCAAAAAGATCGATAGAAATAGCTGAGAGACGTGCGAAACAAAGGACCCGCATGGTGTGGTGGTGAACGCGTTACTCCCCGGAAAGGACAATAGCGCGTTCGTTCCCCACCATAGACACCTGCGGTCCAGAGTTTTGCAAATATCTCAGCAACGTTGTGGCTGTATTTCGCTTACTTAGTAACCTGCCATGAAAATTATAGAAGGCAGAAAACAAAACGTTAAACATTATGAGGATAGAATTCCACCCGAACACTGTCCATCTCCGATAGGCTGCAATCTCTGGAAGGAACTGCTGTTCAGCATGTTGGATCATTCCTTCAAACGTCAGTACAGAAGAAAAATGTTTAGCTAGCTACTGCAAGAAAATAACACATTGAGATACGTACTAAACCGTATTAGGGAGGTCAAAGACAGTGACAGAAAGTGGAGTCAAAGCTAAATCAGAGTTCCCTAAAACTTTGGCACGTATAAATGTGCTTATTCGTAGAGAGAATAATTGGAACAGTTCACTCTACTAATGCCCCAATATCATACGGAAGATTTCGCACATATTCTGTGTCGAACACATTTGAATAAGATATGAAAAATACCTGCCATTGCTGAAGTATAAAGGTGAGTTGAACCGAACGACGGCTGACGCCATCAGAGCGCGAGCTCAGGCATGTGAACATGAAGCCAACCTTCTCGCACAAAGGGGTACGCAACGACTAATTCCCATTTTCAACGAGATATTCGGTCTCCTCATGGTCACATCTCGCGTGTGGCGCAGTGGTCGAAGGTGCCCCCCAACACGCACGTAGAATTAACATGAATTACATACGTGGATTAATATATATATATATCGTTTTTATCGTTTTTCTCTCCTGCAGGCGTTTCCATCAGGAAGCTTAGCTGAGAGTAAACCCAATGGTAGATCTACCATCGTCCTTCAAATATCAAATTAGTCGCATGCATGGTGGCAAATCTCCCTTTGATCCACAAACGTTGTAACGGCCGGGAAGATCTGGCACAGACCTTGGCCAGGATGATCTCGGGACCGCACGGAAACACAATGGCTAAACCAGCAAAACTCCGAAAAACAGAGAATATGCTAGGACCTGCAGAACTAGTGAAGACGGGCCATTCAATTATCAAGTATCAAGTAAGTAATATATATATATATATACGTATATATGTACATATATGTATATTAATATATGACGCAACACTTGTAAAATATACGAGGAGCAGGCGTGTAAAACTTAGAAACGCTTAGAGAATTATTAATTTAGGAAAATGTTACGTAAAAGATAAGAAGACAGATTGCTACCCTACTACACTCTTACAGCTTCTTGCAAGTTCTTCTTCTTCTTAAGAAAAGGAAACAAGAAAAAGTCGTGCATGACTCTAAAGTTATTCACGGTTGGTTTTCAGAGATAGTTTTTCCTTCTAAAACAAACACGGAATATAATAAGGATAATCGAAGTATACGCTTTATTTCTTAAAGAAAACGAATTCACTCATTCAGCATTGAACGAATATTGAAACGCTGGGACGACATCCAATTTCATATCGTTATAGACTTGTGGGCTTTCTGACAACAAACTACAACTGCTCGATAACTACAGGATTTGGAGTTGAGAACATGACATAATTGTAGAGCAGACTTCGCTCTAACAATGCATGCAAATGCATGTGTATGTTACCGTTTCACAGCTTGTGTGGCGCGTGTGGCGCAGTGCTTGTAGGCGCCACTGCGACACAGACGTGGAATAGATCCCCGCACCCATGGCCCACCAAGCCTTCCATACCTTCGGGGTCGGCAAATTGTCACCACACTTGTCTGGCAGGATAGCAGCACTGGCTCGATACATCGGTAGGTCACCACGAGTCATTGTAAAGGTCAGATATGCATTAAATCACTTCGAAATGGTGCTTAATGAAGTCGAGCGCATAGTGCATCCCTCCGCGGTTGATCAACGCCGCAAGCTACATCCTTTCTGCTCACACCTCACGAAATGCACTTTCGTATTAAAAGCTAAGGGACAAAGGTCTCAGCGCTGATCAATCCCTGAGGGATGCACCATGCATTCAACTTCATTAAATACCCTTCGAGGTAATTGAACTCATATCTGGCCTTTACGATGACTCGCGGTGAGCTACCGATGTATCGAGCCAGTGCTGCTATCCTCCCAACCAAGTCTGGCACCAATTTGACGACCCCAGAGGGATGGAAGGTGGGCCATGAGCGCAGGGATCGATTCCACGTGTGTGTTGTAGTGGCGCCTCTAACCACTGCGCTCCAAGCTCCCGTATTCCCGTATTGCTGGCTGAAAAATAAATATATGTTCTCCACATAGAAAACTAAGAGATACTCACCGTCCATCGACAATGATTCGTTGATTCGGACAACGCCCTACGCGCACGTCGATGATTGCTTCATCAGTGGACACGGCACGAACTATATCCGTGATCGAGGATCGCGATCGTCGAATCTTCTGAATATTTCAGATCGTCTGCAAGAAAATTCATTCGGAATAAGATTGGCAAAGTGTGAACTTCAGACATCCTTAAATAGCACTTCCACAAATTTGTAATTATAGAGAACAAGCAAGCATGCCGTATATGACGAAGATGGTTAATGAAAAGCACTTAACGATCCCTAATGACATAAAAAAGCTAAAGCTCTCAACGTTGATTAATCCCTGAGTGATGCTTCATGCATTCGACTTCATTAAGCACTATTGGAAGGATTGAATGCATATCTGGCCTTTACAGTGGCTCGTGGTGGGTGGCTTACCGATGTACCGAGTCAGTAATGCTATCCTCCCACACAAGTCTGGTACCAATTTGACGACCCCAGAGGGATGGAAGGCTTGGGCCATAGGCACGGGGATCGATTCCAGCCCACATGCGCCTCAATGTAATGCAAATTATTTAAAGAATTCATAGCGAAATTATTCCCACTCTCCGTAAAGTTTCAGATTCTTGAAATTACCCAGTAGACGTAGGTATTAAGTATTTAACCAAATTAATAAAAGAAACGTAAAAGGCCAAGAGAAACGCTGTTAATACAAAAATCTTAGCTGCAGTCATAGCTAGGAAGCTGCTGGTAAATCGGATTTCGTGGAAGTTTCAACACAGTGGAACTGGTGGGGAGCGTAATGTATTCCATGTTAATCTCATGCAATTCATTTGCAACTCTATTAGATAAACAACTATCAGTTTCAACAGTACTAAAGCAACGAAACTCGTCTCCATGACCGGTACTAAATAAACTTCAAGTACAAAAGAAATCGATGAATCCAAATCGAGCAAAGAAATAATGTTGTGGGCAAAAAATGTAATGCTAAGCATGATGCAGAACAAGTCCAGTTTAAATGTAATCATGCCTACAGCTTAAATTAAATCCATGTAAAAGCGACTTGTGCGAATATACACAGACATAAGCTACCACCAAACACAGATTTTCACAGCAACCACTTTCTATTGGGAAGTGCAGATTTGAATTTTTTTCTAAAAAAGTGAACTAAAAAGATTCGTCTCTGCGCTTCCAGTTTCCAAATTTTAGTTCTTATACCTCAAAAATTCAAATTTTAGAAAATTATGACCGCAAACAATTTATAACTGAATTGTTATTTTACATAATTAGTTGGATACTCTGATGGCTGATCCTCAGTTTCCCTAGAATCCCGAGGTCAGCCTGACCAAAGTCTGTTCCAGGTCGTCAACACCACAGTCAGTAGCCGCCCTGGTGGATTAGAGCCAGATTTGCCACCGTGCAACTAGTTTGATACCAGAACGGTGGTGGATGCTGGTATTGGTTTACTCCTAGCTTTTTTCCAGGGCTTTCCGGTGGGGAACGCCGAACTCCTCAGCTTGGGTGATCATGCCAGGGGCATGAATCCTTCCTCTTTACATCGCAGTCCGACATACAGGAACACCTCCCAGTCACTAAATTTCAAAGTCAAACACCAAATTCAGAACACCAAATACTTTGCATAAATGAGGATTACGAGGAGGACCAAATACGGTAATCTTTACTGGCGCTTTAGAGTCACTCGACACACAACCGGACGAGAGGTGATATAGGTGAACCGTCACATCTCGACAAGTGCAACATGTCCAGTTATTCGTTGACAGTCGTAGTGTACTTCCGTAGGTATCAAATCAAAATTTTGAGGTATGATGACGTAATTTCGTTTAAATTATCGCTTGTTCGAAGAAAACAACGAACGCTGTTTAGCCTGGAGTGTTTTGCGGACGAGAATACTTACTCCAGAATCAAGACTCCGGATGGTGAAAGAACCAAAAGACTCACAGAGACCAATTAAAGAATCCGAAGAAAGGATGACGATGCACCTTGTTTTCGAAGTACTTTGACAAAATGAAGAGAAACGAGTTGGATTTGTGGAGACGCTAAGTTTCAACAATCCATGCGGGTTTATCCTGTATGCTACTTATTGCACTCTGTTGGCTTGTCGAATTTCTGACCGTTACCAAAAAATCTTAAAAATCCTAGCGAGTCTGCTGTGTTTAGATATTTGCTCTTAATGTTTAACGTTTTGTTTTCTGCCTTCTATAATTTTCATGGCAGGTTACTAAGTAAGCGAAATACAGCCACAACGTTGCTGAGATATTTGCAAAACTCTGGACCGCAGGTGTCTATGGTGGGGAACGAACGCGCTATTGTCCTTTCCGGGGAGTAACGCGTTCACCACCACACCATGCGGGTCCTTTGTTTCGCACGTCTCTCAGCTATTTCTATCGATCTTTTTGCCACAGCAATCACCCGTCAGCGGGGTTGATCTGGGGAGCGCAAATCGGCATAGAACCCAGTTAAGCTATGGCTGTAGTTGAAATCACAATGTTTAACGTTTTGTTTTCTGCCTTCTATTCAACTACAGCCATAGCTTAACTGGGTTCTATGCCGATTTGCGCTCCCCAGATCAACCCCGCTGACGGGTGATTGCTGTGGCAAAAAGATCGATAGAAATAGCTGAGAGACGTGCGAAACAAAGGACCTGCATGGTGTGGTGGTGAACGCGTTACTCCCCGGAAAGGATAATAGCGCGTTCGTTCCCCACCATAGACACCTGCGGTCCAGAGTTTTGCAAATATCTCAGCAACGTTGTGGTTGTATTTGCTCTTACTTCTGTCATCTTCATCAAAAGAACAAATTCATCATCGTCGTAGTGTTTCCGGAGCGCTTGGAACAGTGAGAGATTAATATTGTTAGTGTAATCCCAAAATGAAAAGGGCGCGTTTAGCGAAGCAGTTAGTGGTGCCCTGCACCACAGATAGGTTCGATATCGCGCCGCAAGGCCACCAAGCCTTCCATCCCTCCATGGTCAGGATTGTACGTGAGGACAGCAGCGCTGGGTCACTACATCGGTAGGCCACTGTGAGTCATTGGGAAGGCCAGATATGCAGTCAGTTGCCTCCAACGATGCTTAATGAAGTCGAATTCATGGCGCAACCCTCAGAGCCGCCGATCAACGCCGAGAGCTTTGTCCTTCACTTCTAACCACCAAAATACTCTACCTAGACAGGAACGAAATAAACCTGCCATGAAATTAAGCACTCTGGTCACTTGTCGCCTGTAACCTGTTCTCCTGTTGATCGTCAAGTGAATCGAGCGGGCGCCAGTAAATATTCCATTTTTCCCTGCCTCGTGTAAGGGTAGCCCAGTGGGTTCTGCTCGCTCTAGGAAATTGTTGAGCATCATACCTTTCTTCTAGGCTTTTCGTGAAGAGCTTTGACCATTAGGTTGGTGGTCTTCCTGCAGTGTGTTTGACATCCCGAGCAATCCAGTCACTAACGACTCTTGTCCATCGGTTGTTGCTCATACGCATTACGCGTTCGACTCGCCTTTTCGACTGTTTGGCGCATATAACAGCATCTTTCATTTCTACGAATCCCTTCGTTTAATGGCGTGACACGGGATACCCCTGATATCGTCTTTCCGACCCCGTGTTCAATAATGCTGAATGGTTTTTCGTCCTGTTTACGCAGCGACCAGGTTTCTGTGGGCACAGAGGCGGATGTCCTTTGTTCTCCTCACGGCTTTTTCGATGCTCTTGAAAGCTCCCCAAGGCGCTCGTTTCCTTCTGCTCAACTCTGGAGCTAAGTCGTTCATTATGTTGATTTTCCGACCTAGATAGACATAACTGGAGCATTCAGAGATATTTCTTCTGCTGACCGTGAATGGGGCCTTTTGTGAGATTTAGTCAAAGATTAACCTTTCCACAGGCTTCTTCAAAGTCGCCAGGCATACGTTCCGCTTGGCTAATGTTTGGTATTATAAGGACGATGTCATTAGCAAAGCGAAGACGGTGTAACAGCCGACCATCGATTTCCACTCCCATATTATGCCGTTCCAATGATGTTCTCGAGGATGGCGGTAAATAATTTTAGTGAGATGGTATCGCTTTGCCTAACCCCTCTTTTAGCGTCGATTTTAATATTGTAACAGAATGATAATGTCTTCGCTGTGAAATTTTGTGCAGCTCACGAAGAATCTTCATATGCTGAGTAGGGTCTCCTTGACTATTAAGGGTTTGCAAGACTGCTTCCATCTCCACTGAATCAAAGGCCTTCTTCAAGTCGATGAAAGTGGTATAGAGCGGTTTTTTGTACTCTTGCGATACTTCGATGAGCCTCGTTATCGTGTGGATGTGATCCATCGTAGTAAATCCTCCTCGAAACCCTGCTTGTTCATATGGGTGTCCTTCGTCTAGTGTTCTGTCAATCCTATTTAGGATGGCTCGAGTGAAAAGCTTGTAGACGACAGACAGTAAGCAGAATGGGGATAGTTGCCGATATCGTGCAGGTCACCCTTCTTCAACAATAACACGGTTTTGCTGGTCTTCCAGTGAGTAGGGACCTTGCGTTCAGAGAGGAAACGAACGTGTGAAGAACCGAGCCAGTGTGTTTACTGGGACTGGCGAATGTTCTTCAGGTGTTGTAATCTTATCCTGTCCGGACATGCGGCTGTTCGATTTTTCATCGACGAAATGGCATGTCGGATTTCGGAAGGGAGAATCGGTTGTACAACATATACATCTTTCTTTATTTCATATGGCGGAAGGTGGACGTGGCTATCAAAGAGATCTGAGTAGTATTTGTGATTGATTTTCTCCATTGCCTTTCTGGACGCTGTAACTGTTCCGTCCGGGCGTCGGAGTGCAATCATTTTATTCTTGTAATTGGCGAAGCTTCGGTGGGCTTTGCGAACGCTTTTCCCAGCCTCTGCAGCTTCCACCATTACTGCTGCTTTTCTCTCTTTAAAATCTTCTTTTATCGCCTGTCTGTTGTTTTCTAAGTTCGGACGTGAATTTGCGGCTACCTACAGCTCGTGCGATTCCACGCTGGCGTATCAGCTTGAGTGTTTTTGAGACAAACGTCTCTTGTGACTTTCGAATTCTCGGCTTTCATAGCGCTAACGTGAAAATGCTGTATGAGTCAACCGTATGCGTTGTCGATGTTATCGACAACG